CGATGTGCAGGAGGTGGAAAATTGCCTACTAATCACACACTTGACGAGAAGTACTTAGATTTTTGACGCACGCAACACACCGCAAACAAACTTTGCGTAAACAGCGGAAGTGAAAATTTACGCAACCGAATTTAGGCACAAGCACAACTCGCCTCAAGCTGGTAACGACACTATCTTATCACATAAATGTTCTATGTGGAAACTTATCACGAATTATACGTGTAGATAGAACAATGTTTTTCACGTCGTTTCAGATAAAACGGGATCTATAATTGGAGGCGAAAAGTATAGATTCACAATAACCGCGTCTGCAAAATTTTAAGCCGCGCTTAGGGTAAAGACCCTTTCGGGTGGATACATGCGAAAACCCTTCAACTATTTTTAAACAAGTTTATTTTTGGCACGCGTCGCTACCAACTTCCCTTTATCGTCGAAATTTGGAGAGACGAAAACAACCATGAGACTGAAATCCTGTTTCCAGTTGTGTTTGTTGGGTAAATTAAACGTGTTTTTGCAATTTTAGATTTTTGTTTCAAAATTATGAATTATAATCGGTAGTTGGCCCAATTTATAACGATGGTAGTTTAGCATTTCGGGTATCTTCAAATGTTTGTAGTAAAATTAAACAGGCACACTTTCTCCCACGTCTCAAAGCTGTGGAGAAATTAGTTCAGGTTTTGCGAACAAATTTTTATCGAATGTGGTCATAATCTTTCGGAATAAAGAGTGAATGAGTGACTGCTGAGACGGACTTCAAATGATAACCATCAGACACTTTCACTTAAAAAAAAATAAAACCCAACATGCAGGAAGGAATGGAAATAAATTTGACAAATGTTAAGAAAAACTGCCCGAACCCCAAAATTTACATAAAATGGAAGGATATTTTGTGAGACATGATTAATGATGTTCATAAGTAGGAAGTAAAGCTTTAAGATGTAGATAAGAAGCATAAAGAGTGTATTGAGAGAGTAACGTAAACCACACGATAAGAATAAGTGCATTGAAAAGCCTTTTTGCTCTTGTTCCTTCGGTGCACGAAGACACGTGCAAGTTGTAAACTATAAGAAAAAAAACCCATAAATAATGGGTTAACGATACATTAAAATTACATAAGCTAAAGTGACAATTATTACACAAATAAGAAAGTGTTGTCTGTTTTGACAATACAATTTGCGGATCGCTATTATGTAAATCGTATTCCAGTTTATTTATAGGTTCTTACTTTTACGGTGATTGATTTTAAATGTCAAGTTATTTATCGGCATTAATCAAACGAAGTTTAATCTGCAACGAAGGTTTATTAATTGCTTCATTACAGAAAATTAAAAGAATACTCCAAAGTAGGTCTGGGTAGAGGTCAGAATATTAAATTGATTGTATTTTGATTGTTGGCAGTATCCGTGCAATTGTGAACAGACAGACGGAAAACAGTCAAAACGTTTCGTTACGCTCAAAATGTCATTTCGATTTTGAAACGGGGAGTCCTAGGGGTATGGAATACCCCCAGAAAAAAATATAAAATTAATCTTCATTTACCCACAATTGACATAAGACGTTCGTATACTGGATGGTATTCTGTACCCCTCAAAAACCTCAATCTAAAGGCACATTCCAAAAACTATTGTGTAAGCTAAGGGTACTGAACATTTTGGGAGAGAATGTAGAACCGGGGGGGCCAGAATACTCCCAAAAAAATAAAGAGTATCTTCATTTACCTACAACTGACATAAGACCTTCGTATACTGAGGGGTATATACCCCCCTCCTCCGCGCCGCGGATAAAGGTAGAACCGGGGGGTCTGGGAGGTATAGAAAACCCCACAGGAAAAATAAAGAGTAAATCTTGATTTACCTAGAATTGACTGTCGTATATTAGGGGGTATTCCATAAACCCCCGGTGAGACGTTCGCCCTTAAAACCTTTAGCACTAAAGGCTCATTCCAAAAATTCCCGAAAATATTCTGCACCCTTGTCACTTTTTTTTAGTTTAGTTTTATACATAATTATTATACAATTTTCACCAGAATTCATAAATTCGATAATCATTTATTTATTTATTTATTTATTATCCTAAAACACATTCTACAGTGCTATTTATTCAGAAGTAGATATAGCAATTTATGTGTATTGTTTTTCCCTATGTCTACTTTAAAATGACAAAATCTTTTCTGAAGGGCGCCTAATTTTATGCAACTAATATAATTTCTTTAAACAAATAAAGATCTGGCTGTCACATTAATTAATTTGAATACTGTTGCTTTGAATTCGGTATTTTTATTTTCGTTCATGTGCGATCTATTCAGTTGAAGAAAAAGTCAATTGGTATAGTGCCGGTAACAGTTTAAAGAGCGTAAGGGATTTATTTTCTGTTAGGCCAAAGCCAAACCAAGAATATTTTAACTAATTAATATGACAACCAGATGTTTATTTGTTTATAAAAGTTATTTTGGATGCATAAAATTAAGCGCCCTTCAGAAGAGATTTTGTCTTCTAAAAGTAGACTAAGGTAAAACAATATACGTAAACCCCTATGTCTACTTTTTAATAAATATCACTGTATATTAATTGCTTACTTGCAAGTTGGGCGTCCTAGCTTGTTAATTTTTTGTCGCTATGACGTTACTTGCTTACTAAATTTCAAGTTTGGAATGAATTATTCCTTTGAAATTTGGTAATTAAATCTAAATCGTTGGGGATGCCACCAACTCACAAAAGTAAGTGCCTAAAATTAATTTTTTGTCATAGTTTTGAATGCAAAACCGCTTTCTATATTAATTGCTTAAAAAATTGCAAGTTTAGAATTAATCATTGATAATTAATTGGTAACGCTACTAACATTATGTAGGGGAATTTGTTTTTGTGAGTAGCTGGCAACACCAATCGTATCCATTTATCACAATTTATCGCTAAAATAATTAGTTTGTAGGTTATTAAACAAATGATAACAACAATTAATAGCAATAAATAAGTACTTTATTATGTGGCATTAGATTTAACAACGTTCGATGTTGGGGATTGGTAAGTTAATAGACAAGCAAAGTGACTTGCGTTGTAATGCATTCCAAACATGAAATCAATAAAAATTGAAATACGCTAGTAAAAACTGTTCACCTTAATGTGAGGATATATTTAGGATTTTTATTTATAATGCGATTTAGCTAGACATGCTCTTCCTAGCCCCCCCCCCCCCCCATCTATTGTTAAAAAATACACTAATACACACTTTTTGACCAAGAGAAGGATGTCTATCATGAGGATCTCGGAAACCATAGATACGAAGATGGTGAAATTAGGGAAAAGACTATATGGCCCGTAAAAAATGTACATACTGTACCTATTGAGTAGCATTTTTTATTACGAATATATCGGTATATGGCACGCAAAAAAAACCAAAAGTTGGAAACTGTGGATTTCTTGATTTCAACAGGATGGTGCACCAGCGTACAACGCCCTAATCGTGCGAGAAAACCTATCGAAGAAATTTTTCATTTTCCAGGAAATTTGGCCCATACCTAGGTATTCTTTTCTTGGACACACATACCATGACTTTTAAAACTATCGTTACATCATAAAAATGTTGACATGTTTTTAAAACGTTGGCGCTTATGATCCTGAAAAGAGGTTTTTATCATGTCTTCATTATACACGATCAAATTTAATGTGAAAAGGGATAGTTACAGAAACAATGGAGTGCAATTTTTTTTAATGGAAGCATAACCTTTTTATTACACCGATTGTTTAGAAATTAAATTTGTGACCGATCAATCAATGTCTGGCTTACTTTTCGAAGTATTAGTAACTTAAAAGGTTCTTAAAAACTGACTGTATGAATGTATGAAATGAGATTCTCATCGTTCTTGGCGTTTTTATGAGGTGCTGTAATGAAATTAAAACACAAGGCAATTTCACTGTTTGGCATAGCCAACTTTTCTCTTTCAACAATCTCAAAAAACCTAGGCCAGCTAAATAATATGTATACCGGTCAAAAGCAAATTTGTTTTTTTAAACCGACAATTGTTGATGGAGAAATAAGGAAATTTCTTTGTAAGCCTCGAACCTGACAATTAAGTGTCCGAGCGTTTTTTCTAAAATTCCCTTTCAACTACATACTGGAAAATCTATAGCTCTGTTTCGTTTTCAATGCGTTACCCTTTATATTCACACAAAAAATTGACTCGGTCCGACACTGAGATACGTGATTATTGTCTGCATGAATGCGTATCTTAGACCTTAATCCACCTGTGTTGGAGCTCCATTACACCACTAAGCTGGAGAGAATAAAATGAATAGGAAAGTAACAAGAAGCGTAGGTTTTCACCTTTACGCAATGATTCGTAAGTGTGAAAGGTCGCTACAGTATTTTTCATACGGCTCCCATAAAAGAACAGTTCACATTTTGCAAAATCTAATTCACCCTTTAAATGTCATTCTGAAATTATTTGACAGACGCCTCCTCTATTTAAGTTACATTAATAAGTAGAAAGCAAAATGCACGTGTGAGTTTTCTAATGGGCGAAGCCTTATAAGAAAGCAAAAGGTACGTGTGCGGTTTGCTTACGGCGGCATTTGTTAATAATAAACGCAACATGTTTTTTCTTGGTGACTTTGAACAATCCTACCATTTTCTAAGGGAATCGTAGAAAAATTCAATTTTTTAAACAATATACAGTAACAATCAAATGTTAGCCACAAATTAGGAACGAAGTTTAATTTAAGGGAGTTGTACACGTGACTGTTTCTACTACTCCATGAAAATTTTGAAATAGAGAAACGGTAAGACAAATCTAGGTCGAAGCTCCCCACAAATGGTGACCAATTAAAACGTAAATTGAATTCTGGCTTTATCGGTGTGCATAGCTAATAAATTTACAAATACGCTCGAATTAACAATAACAGCGGGAGGTAGGTAGAAGTCGGTCAGCGCGACGCTTCCATATCTTAAGAACCTTTAATTCGCAATCGACGTTCGCCGCGTTTAATGAATAAGTAAAATCTTACCACAATCTCATAAATCACATGAATATTGTGAATGAAAGGCTAAAAAATCATGACGGAACTGAATAGGTTCTCGCATCCAGTCGTCATCGGTTGCTCCAACATAATCAGTACAATCGGGCATATTGTGCAATTTACCTGAAACAAAAGAAAAAAATTAGTAAGTATACTCATGTGAACGAGATTGAAAATATCACGGGAGAAAAAGTTGTCAACAAGATACAACCGTTTTCTGATAACAACCCGATGTCCGTCAAGATAAACAAGCAAAGGGAACGCGACAGTTTCGGGTTTGCGAGATTACAAAAAGGGATGCCTTTACAGCTATTATAACAATTCCTCGTCCTTCACCCTTTCGTCTTGGGACGTCGCATCAACAAGGGTAGAGAGAAACATGAGGCCAGGTGCCTTTAAACCCCCTGAAATTCAACCTTACTTTTTATACGACCGACGGAAATGAATTATTGAAACAACTGTTATTATTAAATATCTTTGGAAATTCACTACTTGAGGATTTGAAAATTTTGTAATTGGCAATCAATTACCGGTTTATAAAATGCATATACGGGGGGAGCCGAGGAGCGTCCCCAATTTAGGCAACGGTGATTAATCACTTTGTATAACATACAAGTCGCTTTATTACATTAACGCATAAATTTATTAATAGGTTTACCACGATAAAAAATTACAACCCCCTTCAGAGTTTGATGTCCGCGTCGATTAAGTCGTAATTGGACGATTACGATTTGATGTCGCTCTTTCATAAAATCAAATTTGCAGGAGGTTAAATTGATAACAATCTCGGCTGCTGTGCGAGTTCTGTTTTTAAAGGACTCAAAGTTTCATTTTAAAGTTAAAACCCCCACGGAGACCTCCCAGAGGTCGTGTCATACCAACCAACACGTGGTGACAAACTAGCGCTACTAAAAGACAGCTTTGCAGGTCTTCATTTACCTGCCAAAATATGATGCCATTGCTCGAAGCTGATACTGATACTTTAGCGGTTTAATGGAAACGAACAAATCGAAATTATGGGTGTTTGGCCACTAACTATATCAAATATTTACTCGTTCCACTACGTTCATTTAAGAAAAACTAGTACTAAATTTGAAAAGTATTGCTAAAAAAAATAAAGCCGTATACAGTGTGTTCATTTTATTTTGTCCACTATCTCCAGAACTAGAAGAGTGGCGAGGTCGGTTAAATTAGCAAAACATTTCTAATTTCCAAGACTATTTTAATGAGCATTAGACATTAGACAGCAGATGAATGGGAGGAGGGGGTTAATGGAGGGGGGGGGGTTATAAGTGAAAATGGACTGAGATGGGAAGAGAAACACGAGACAGAAAATAAAATCAAGAGATAAACAGTGCAACAAAGAGAGAGGAGGGTTACTGAATGAATGTAGACTTTTAAACGGAAACATGGAACGAGATAGGGACGGGCAATACACATTTCTGAGGAAGAGTACACAATAGTAAATGAAACAAGTTGTAAATCAGCATATGCATGATTAAAGCGCATTTTTGGTAATGCAGGTCAGTATTTTATTAGCGAAGTTTAAAATTATCGATCTCACGAGTAATTTTGGCTGCGTTAAATAATTAATTTTATTTAATTTCAATTCACGGTACGTCTTCATTTTGTAAAACAAATCACAAAGTAAATAATAAGTTTTTATACTGGTAGCGCTATCTAACGGTAAAATTATAGCACCTCCGAAACCCATATCGAAATTATGTCCTTCAATTATCGATCTCACAAGTAATCTAACTCAAAATAGACCCGTGCCTGCACATCTACACTATAGCAGGAAGCTTTTAGTGAAAATTTGAGGTCTCTAGCTATTGTAGTTGTGGAGATCTAACGCGGACAGCCGGCCTGCCAGCAATAACGAATATAATAGCGTATTTTTTTCAAAAATGCGCTAAAAATACTGGAAGAAATAGAAGAGTTTAAGGTAGGAATAGAGGTAGAATCGAAACATCAACCGATGAAAAGGAAGACAAATACGAAGGGATTTATGGACAAGAGACATGGTACAGTCGTATAGAAAAATAATAGAGGAACAAGAATGAGAAATAGAAGGGAGTACAGAGGAGGAGTGGAAAATATAAAGAGAAGTATTAAAAATGTGGAAACTGGAACTAGAGAGAGATAATAAAAAGGAGTGGTGGGACAGAGACTGTACAGAAGAGAGAAACCGATATAAAATAATGATAGAGAAAGAACGAAAAGGAGAGATAGAGGAGAAGGGGTTAAGAAAATACCAAAAGTAGAAGAGAAAATGTTAAGAAAAAAAGATGGAGAAATAGAAATGTATTCATTGATGCGACTATAACAAATTCGAACAAAAAGATTGAACTAACTAACGGCTTCACCTTTTACTATTCCAAATGTCTAAAAATGTATCACTAATTTTTTGTGATACTATCTATAATGTTATCTTAATATGCGTATTTTCCTGTTTTACACTGTATCACTGTGTGACTCATAATACAATCAGTTTCAAAGATATGATATTGCGCTGGTTAGACGCCATCGAGGACGCCATATTAAATTTCATTCTGACCTCACGCGGTTCTCATATGGTGCTGTGTTTTGTTTATTTTACTGTGTTTTAGAAGGTTTGCTTTAATCTATTATGAGATAAAGTTATTGAATTACAGTTGTCTGTTGCATCATGGCTATAGAGCCAGTATAAAAATGAGTGTATTTTTAATACAGATTAAAACACACTTTAAAACTTTCCCTGGCTAATTTATTTAAATGTAGTCTACTGTTATAATGAAAGAAAATTATGTGTGTGCGAGATGTTTCCAACAACTCCCTAGCTTAATGTAATAGGTAAAATGTATTTATGTCTTATCAGATATATTTTAAAGTGGTACTTGTTATTGGTTGCGTAATCACACTGTAACCACATTTTAAAAGCTTGGAAGGATCTTGCTTTAACACATGCCTTATAAATGCATTTCTTGTAGGTTTCGTAATCACATTGGGCACATTTAAAATCCTGGAAAAGACTGTGTGACAACATATGGTTTTTAAAAAATACATTTGAAGTTATTTGCGTAATCACACTGGGCACATTTAAAATTTTTGAAAAGATTATGTGTCAACAAATCAGTATCAATCAATCATTGGTTGCGTAATCAGACTGGGCACATTTGAAGTCCTTGGAAGTCCTGTGTTTTATTTGAACCCTCCCTTGTATTATAAAATAGAAAATTAGTACAATTTTCATTGTTGTGCCTTATTTCTCATCTAAATGTATGGGGATAAAGTGAATTGTTACCGCGTGACGTCATGCGCAAAACCGAAGGGAATAGAGACCGCATAGCTTCATATCTTTCTTATTTGTTGTATCATGTGTGTGCCCCGAGTTACAAGTGGCAATTCCCACACAGCAGCTCAGTGATACAGTTTATTACTCAATTAAGTCCTTTACCGGATTTACGATTTACTGTTTATTTATTAAATTTGTTGACTTAATCTGCACTTTTAAGCAAATCCACGTTTCCATTGCCATTTTAAAGAATGATTCCTTCATGCTGACAAATATACAGGGTTTTTGGGTTTGAGGTTTGAGTGTTTCAAATATACATCGAGGAATATGAAAAAATACAAAAATATATAGGGTGTTCCACTTTAAAAACCAAAATCAATTAAAACACACCCTGTATGGCAAAAAACATGTTGGGGTTGCGGTATCGGCATTTGTCTACATAACAATACAACTTTTGAGTATTTTTCAACAATTTTTACAATACGCCCATGCAGTTTGGCGCAATCATTCCTTATGCAATTTTATTTCTTAGATCAAACGAAGTGTGAAGTTAAAGTCGTTAAAAAGAATCGCTCCCCTGCGGAATTGTATTCTTTGATATTCCTTCTCTCTTTTGACGTCCTTATCTGGTGTCAAAAAGTGAAAGGGACACTAGGTAACTAAATCTAAAATCAAAGTAAAGGTGGTACAAAAAAATTACCCACAGTCAGTAGGGAAATGATTAACTTTACGTACGTGGATGGCCGTTGTATTACAATTATGAAACTTAATTTAAGAATTAAAAACAGTTTTAATCAATTTTTCTCACCATGAAACTCATATACGGGAAACGCGCGTAGATAATTGCATTTCTCCACATTCGGCTTGTCTCGCCTGTAAAGTGGTTAATTTAGCATCACGTCAGTAACGAGTGTGTACTTCAGCGAGGGTCAAAAACTCGTCGATGTGCGAGAGCGAGAGAGCTTTCAAAAAAATAACCTGGTACAAACTACAAAAGCTGCAATTGCCCATTGAAACGTAAGGAATATGGGGCGTACAGTAATCATTTCACGCTTGTAATAATAATATCGGAGATCAATAACTGTGTTATGTTTGACTAGAACAACGTTGTTTAACATGCCGATAAATTTATTCGCATATTGCGCTACGAATTGAATGCCATTTTATTTCAGTTTTCGCATATTCCGAGCTACTCACGTACAATCACCGTTATTCATCCGTGCGTTATACTTTGGCGTTAAATCTCATTCCGGAAAAATTCAATTAAACAATGCTCTCGATGTGTATTGATGATATTGAACATTTTTCAATTTACTTAGACTTTTACGTTCCATCTAAGAACGCCATAAATCACCGGTCCATAAACGAGATTGGGGTTTGGTATTTTGTGGTACGTCGTAATCATGAGATGAAACAAAAACATAAAAGAAAAACCATCAATTTCGACGATGAAGAATTGGGTCGCATTTCGCACCATTTAATATATTGTTATTTAAATAAAACACCAGTAGTTGTTTGTAGTACTTTTTGTTGATGCTCCCTAGTCCCACCTCTTGCCGAAGTAATAGGCACATTAAAATTAAATGTATACTGAAACAAATGTAAGTAGATAGTCCCTACACACCTTGTATACAGGGTCGCCGATAAGTCTGGAAACGGTCGATTATCGGGGAAAATATACAAGATTTGGAAAAAGTTCTATGCAAAAAGTGGGGTGTTTCAATGTCTACTAGGCAGTAATAATTTTAATCATACAAGGTTGATTGTTTCCTACGCGGTTGTGTATCCATATTTAAGCTATAACATTACATGTTGGGGAGCAAGTACACATACTCACAGAGTATTTATA